AAGTATTGAATATTAATATCTTAGATCGTTATATAGAAGAATTATTCTAGTCGCTCCGATTTATTACTTACGGATCCATTCACATATTTTAGTGCGATCACAGATTTGACAAGTCGTTTTATACAGACAGCGAATGCAACGGAATTCTTTTGAATAATTTTCAAACTTTTTTTTGAAAGTTTGGTACAAACTTTCAAAATCGATTTTTGAGGCTTTCATAATATACGAGCTCTATCTTCGGTCCAGATGAGGTCCAAAGAAAAATACGAGAGATTTTCTGTTTTTAGGATACATATTTATGGTGGCTGTCATGACCACCATGCTTGAAAGCGAGAACATTGCAGAAGGTTGAAAGGGAAACAAGAACGTTGCACGCACGTGCGCCAGCGTGATCCGCGTGCTAAGCCACGCGTGCGAGGCACACTGCCTTGCCAATACGATCCGCGAATTGGGTTATTTCGAAAGTGTATAAACATTCGAAAGTAAACAGCGTAAAGAAGCATTGCGATACCGGTATGAATATAACAATCAGCGTCATCAGGACAATGCTAAATGATGATTACGTGTGAAATTTTGTTACTCTTACTTCACATTATTATGATTCGTTGACGATATTTAAATCTGTTTCTCATTAAATAATAAATAATTTAATCTTGGCCAATAAAAGCAACTTAAACTTGCTCACATGCTCATAGTCTTGAAATTAACGACAAAGCAATAATTAAAAATAACAATAGTACGAAAGAATTCATTAATATGAAAAAACAAGCAATCCCACATTTCTTAAATGAATCTAGATAATAGCAAATGATATCTGCAACTTTGATATTCTCTTTCCTGATAACAACATAGATACATCGTTCTCTCTCTCTCCCTCTCTCTCTCTCTCTTCTCAATGAAAAAAATCATTGATTATCGATTAAGGATTATATAAATAGCAAAGTCGCATTATAATTATACTAATAATAGTAATAATAATATGTAACGTGCATTGCTATGTAGGTTAATTATACAACTACATTTACAGTAGTAGTTTTCAGATGCGGATAATACGGATAAAAATAATAATATTTACAAGATTATGAACTCATAAGTGAATCGGTATAGTATGATAATCTACAAATCTTTTTCCTCATTCGACGAAAGAACATTAATTCGAGGATCGAGAACGTAGATCCGTGTCGCGTCGAGTCCACCACTACCACCGAGTCACGAAGACCCGGGTTCGCGTCACGAAACCGCCATCATCCGTGGGGTGGAAAGAAACGGAGCTCGCGCGCGCGCGCGCGCGCGCGCGAGACAGAGAGAGATAGAAAGAACCGCGAAAAGGAGCAGCGGCGACGCGCGACGTATTATATATATACATACGCCAAAGGAGCGCGCCTTCGCCCGGCCGGCCAAAACGAAATCGCGGGGCCGCAGGATGATGGTATGGCTACGGTTGCGCGCTTGACTCCACGCAGTGTATCGATAGTATCGTGGAGAGGAAACGGCGGCGGGAGAGCGAGAGAGAAAGAGAGAGAGAGAGGTACTCAGGGTGGCGGAGGCGGCAATGTGGAGCGGGTAGAGGAGCGGGGCTTACGCGCGGTGGTACGCGAGGTCGGGGGCAAGAAGGGGGACAGGGCTATGCTCGGCGCAGGCAGAAGTGGACGGGCAAGAGCGATTCAACCTCCTTTCACTTTCAACGAGCGCGCGCTCGCTCGCTCGCTCGCCGTTTCATGCGCGACCGGCAAACACTCCGCGTACGAAAATAGGCAACGCTGCTGTTTTCGCCTCGGAGTGTCCCGGCTGCCCTCTCCCCCTTCCCTCCCCCTGCGAGAGAGAGAGATCAGTTCAGAGGCGACCAGAGCGGCTCGCGACCCGCGAACTCCTCGACCCGCAACGTAGTGGTTTACGAGGGTGGCGTCGCGACGCCGCTTGGTACCTGACCCTGAGGTGCTGAAACGATAAGTGAGATAGGCGAATGAGCACGTGATTGTCGGGCAGCTTTTCGGATAATTCGCTATTTTATTAGATCTGTAATGTCTTTGGAATTTCGATAAGGATTTTGACGTAATAAAGCGGGCTTTAATATCGAGAGATCGCTTTACACAAACAAGTATGCGACGTATCTTAGAGATTCGTCACACTTTTTTTTAATTATAGACTCGCAATTTAATGATTAATTGCAATTGTTTGATTATAAGGAGAGATAGATAGAGAGAGAGAGAGAGAGAGAGGGCGAACAATAATTAATTATATGTATTTTTAAAAACTTGCAGGGAGACGTGAATGATTCGTGAATTATCTATGTTAAAATATAAATAATTTTGGAAAAATCAGAGGACGCAATATATCCGATGATTTTTCAGAAGAAAACAGGAAATTTGATATTATTGAGCGTCGAGGTATAATAATTTCCCCCCGCGAAACAGGCAATAAAATATCTCTGTAACAAGATCGGAGATTGTATAATATGTAATACGCTTTTGCTTAATATAATAATTTTTTGCGGTGTTCGACTTTCTAATAGTTTACCATCGAATAACTTTGCTTTGTACGCCTTTAAAAATTACATCTTTAGTAGACGAAGATAATAGTAGAATAGTCGATGCGATTTGAAGAAATCACATAACTGTCGTGAACATAAAAGGAGATAAGAATTGCTTTCCAAACAAGGCTGATTATTTTAGGATTTCCCTCATTAGTAATTATTAAGGTTAATAACCAGAGATAATATTTGTAATCACACACCTAAAACTAAACTCTGCTATAGCATTTGCAAAATTTCATGCACTGTATTTCATATCTTGAACTGATCTTGGCATAATAAAACACACCGTTTAATTATCTTTTAGATATTAAACACTATCAGAATGTCAATGCAAGATAAATGTAATGTAATTATATTTCAATTTTAATTTAATTTACGAGAAATATACGTTACAAGCCAACGAAAATTCTATGTCGTAGCAAAAACAGTTCACATCTGTGTTAAAATAATTTATAAAAATTTATTTATATATACAAATAATTATTTTTCTCTACGGCCCATACGATGTCAATATTTACGTGTAGAAAATGAACGATTTGCAAACGGATCCTTGCGAAAACCTCTTGGGAACCAATTGCCCCATAGTTTTAAACGCTCCAGGCTGTGTTCCTTTCGTGTTTAACTCGTTGCAGGAAACACCGCCCGCGCGGCGAGTAAAAAGCATAAAATATGTCTACAAGACTGCGCTGGCGAGCGTTAATCGACGATTATTATGGATTACACGAGTGACCATTGTGACGCCTATCCTTTGCGTCGCCGTCGTTGACAGATTACGAGCCCGCTGGGTATGCATTAAACCGCGTGTACACATATTACGATTCCGCCAGTTATTCTCCGAAATCGTACGTACTCGAAAATTTATTCTTCATCGAAAACAAATATCGTTTGCGATTCGAAATACATCGTACCGATAATATTATTATGTCCTGCTGACTCTACGAGTCCTTCCTTCCGCGATGTTGCACACGATCCATTCGATAAAAATATTTTTTTAAATTATTTAAACGTTGTATTTCTAAATGCGTATTTATATCACTGTTGCACTATTGATATTGAATCGATTATCTTTCTTTTAAAAAGATCCGTGAGATATAATTGCATAAAATTGACTCTTTATCAAATTATTTGAATATATTTGAGATAGAAACTTATTATTATTAGTGTTTCGCTTCGTTGAAGAAATTACAATTGAAAGTTGAGAGATTCTTGAAATAATATGAAACTTTGGCATTTAATTTCAGATAAGTCTGTAATTAACTTTCACATTAAAATTCTATTAAGATATAAAATCTTGAACTGATATCACTTATTTATATTAAAAATCTACATCTTGGTTAATTGATGTATACATTACAGAAAAATTAATATTTAAATACGACTAAGAATTGTTAATACGCAAAGTAGTTTGAGTGTATTTTAAACCTTAGATATTATTTCTGAACATTCATATGTAAAATTTTTTCGAAATAGCTCGACGAACGTCGATAAGTTTCATACGGCAGATGGTAGTTATCAGTGATCAGTTTGAAAAAGCCGATGTGTAGAGTCGTGGCTTTAGATGCGTCCGCGATAGCATGCTGAGTATAGGAAACACGCGAACTGTCGAATACACTGTCACGATTTTGCGTAGCGCGTGTATATAACAGAAATAGCAGGCGGTACCCGCACTCTCACGCTTTGTCCCACTTATCTAGCGATTAACCGTGACTTCCGCTTTCGTCGACGTCCGACTCAGAAGACCGCCAAGGTTGTTTCATTCACGCCCGCGAGATTTCCCTCGATTCCCCCGATCGGCGAACACGCGTTTTTCAGCAACGATCGTCTCGAGCTCTACAAATATACTGCAGATCGACTGCGGGTCTCGCTGCCTTCGCGTCTGAAATCTAAGATGATTTTTAAAGTATCAAAAAATCTCAAACTTTTCGATCATTTTCAGTTGCAACTCTTCGGTATATCATGGATTCTTTAAATATATACAAGTGTAGATTATTGGATATTTTCCAAATATTTATTATCATTCTAAAGATTGTAAACCAAAGCATAGAGTTAAGCTTTCAATGGAAAGATATTTTTTTACTATATGAAAGATTACAGAACACCCGATACACCATGGGAGAGATAAATACATTTAATTAAACTTGCTATTAAAACAGTTGTTAATACTTTGCTACTACTTACTATTATAAAAAAAGAATACAATAGGCATCTAAAGAATCGATTTTTCCATTTGTGTCCATACGTTTTATTTCTTATATATTCTGAAAAATCAAGTGCGACTCGATTTTCAGACCGTATCGAATAACATAATATAAAATGCGGAGAAATCATTCGTGCTCGTTCGCGGCATATCAAGGATAGAGGTTGAGATGCTGCACCCTATCTTTTGATCAATATTAAGGATTTAAGAATAAATAAAACGAAGGCATCACGATGAGCGCAAAGTCAACGATTCTTCCTGTTGTTCCAGCTGTGCGAGCAGACAGGATGCGGGGAGGTAGAAACAAATTCGGACCCATGTACAAGAGAGATAGAGCGCGTAAGTTGCAACTTATACGTCAACGACAAATGGCCATTCAGTCGATACGCGGCAGTCTTGGCGACCCATCCAGCTATCCGCCCGCGGTGACGCCGTTGCTGCACATCAAGCAGGAGATCCAAATACCTCAGGTCTCGAGTCTGACCTCGTCACCGGACTCGAGCCCGTCCCCCGCGACCGTGGCCGCTGGCCTGGTCACGACGCAGGCCGGCGGAGCCGGTCAGCACCAGCTGATCGCGCCGTCCACCCAACCCAACATCGGCACCAGCAGCGGCGGCGGTGGCGGTGACGGCGGTAGCAATCACCTGCACAATCTCAATCCTGGTCTGGATAACAAATCCTGGACCGCCAACTCCACCTCCTCCGGGACGAAGGTCTTCAACTTCGGCGAACAGTCCGCGCAGCCTCACGGCGGCGGGGTGGCGGGCTACGCGCCTAATCCCGCCGCCGCCGCCGCTCTGAAAACGGTTAGTCCGATGATAAGGGACTTCCTGTCATCGATCGATGACCGCGAGTGGCAGACGTCTCTCTTTGGACTCTTACAAAACCAAACGTACAATCAGTGTGAAGTGGACTTGTTCGAATTAATGTGCAAAGTGCTCGATCAGAATCTGTTCTCGCAAGTGGATTGGGCTAGAAATTCGACGTTCTTCAAGGATCTCAAGGTAAGCATCGAGTTTAAGAGAAGTCGCAGATTTTCTAAAACTCTATTTGGTACTTTTTATTTATTCATTTTTTTTTTTTTTTTTTTTTTTTTTTTTTTTTTTTTTTTTTTTTTTTTTCCTTATCGGATTCGATTATCGTGATCGTTTTTTTTCGCAATTTTCGCAATAATATTTATAAAGAGAAGGATGTGAAAAAATGTCGACGTAATATGACATGGTTTTACACGGTCGTACGCGCATTAAAAATCATATTTGCACAATGGTTGTGTCGAGAATCTTCTTCGTTGAGAGAAGTTTTGTTCTTACCGATAAATAACTCGTTGCCTGGCCTGCTCGTGCCATGAGCGGGGATGTGAGGTAACCAACGGCATTGCACAATCACTACTGAATGATTTCAAGCATCGCCTCATATCTAGGTCATAACAAGATACGTTTCTGGGTTATGGCGGTTGCCCCAAAGCAGAAAGACCGTGTTAATTATAAATACTTTTAACTACAAGTTTTGCATCGGATTCGATTATCGTGATCGTTTTTTTTCGCAATATTTAATTTAATATTTATAAAGAGAAGGATGTGAAAAAATGTCGACGTAATATGACATGGTTTTACACGGTCGTACGCGCATTAAAAATCATATTTGCACAATGGTTGTGTCGAGAATCTTCTTCGTTGAGAGAAGTTTTGTTCTTACCGATAAATAACTCGTTGCCTGGCCTGCTCGTGCCATGAGCGGGGATGTGAGGTAACCAACGGCATTGCACAATCACTACTGAATGATTTCAAGCATCGCCTCATATCTAGGTCATAACAAGATACGTTTCTGGGTTATGGCGGTTGCCCCAAAGCAGAAAGACCGTGTTAATTATAAATACTTTTAACTACAAGTTTTGCAACTATTTTTTATTTTTGCTTCAACACGACGAATTTGTAAATAATGTTATGAAGTGGAAGGAGACGGCTTTGTTTAAACTTTTCATCGACAATATGGTACGTCGCTACCGGATCTTCATACTAAAATTTTGTTAAAATCATGTTACGCGTGTAAATAAATTTCTCAAAACATGTTATAAATATACATATAAATTGAACTCATTTTTTGTATATTTTTTATTGCAAAGAAAATGTTCTCAAGTAAATAAAATGAACATTAATGGCACAATTCATATATATAAGTTGCAATTCACATTATTTATATTTATATTATTTATATTTTACTTAAATTTTATTATTTTATTAACGCACGTTATTTATTATTTTATTATGCACATTATACATGTTTTCAAGTTTAATTATTTCTGAAAACAAAATATTGTTATTGTTACGTTGCCGTATAAAATTTTTAAGTGAGGTTCTAAACGAAATATAAATTTTTTTTTCTCTGTATCATTATTACTATTTATAAAATCTGACATTTACACAATGAATAAATGTGTTATTTATTAGGTTGACGATCAAATGAAGCTACTACAACACTCTTGGTCGGATATGTTGGTGCTAGACCACCTTCATCAAAGGTTACACAACAGTCTACCCGACGAGATGACACTTCATAATGGCCAAAAGTTTGATCTCCTTTGCCTCGGCCTACTCGGAGTTCCTGCCTTGGCCGATCTCTTCAAAGATCTATCCAAGAAACTTCAGGAACTAAAATTCGACACCTCCGATTACATATGCATGAAATTTCTAATGCTGCTGAATCATGGTAAGTAAAATCAGATTAATACGCGTTCGTCTCGTAAGTGACGAGTTTTGAGAAACGGGTAATAATTAAAGTGGTAAGATTCATACATTTTGTTTCAAAACAAACTATCACACATTGTACATCTCTTTTAAACATGATTCTTGTAAAAGTGTCATATCATAGAGATTTTCTGTAACAATCTATTTGAAACATGTTGTACAATGTAACATCTCATAATTTGACTTTTATATTTTGTCCAACTTTTAAATAAATACATCTCACATATAATATTAACGATTTGTAAATTCAATTTGTATAAGACATGTGCTTATTCTCTGCTATCTATAAATGTATATATTTCATTTGATTCAGATGTCCGTGGACTAGTAAACAAAAAGCATGTGCAAGAGGGTCACGAGCAGGTTCAACAGACGCTTATGGAGTATACGCTAGCTTGTTACCCATCTCTACCGGTGCGTTTCATTGCGAAACACTCCCTCATATATTCACTTAAAGCAGGTTAGCAGACAGTAGATATTTAATTGTGTTCTTATTTTCGATCTGCGTAGGATAAGTTTAACAAGCTGCTAGCAGTATTACCGGACATCCACGAGGTGGCAACTAGAGGAGAAGAGCATCTTTATCAGAAGCATTGCAACGGAAGCGCACCGACGCAAACGCTTCTCATGGAGATGCTTCACGCCAAGAGGAAATGAAACGATCGGTTTTTCTTGGTAATTTTTGCCATCGAATATAATTCGTTGATATATATATATAACGAAAGTCCTGTTAGTGCCCCTAATCGTGAGACAGAGTGGACCTCAAAGTACCTATTAAGAGCTAAAATGCTGCTAAGGTATCGGACCAAGTTAAGGGGCCCTGGTTCAAGATATACCTATGCATACAAATCAAGTATAGACGTACACATACTTTACATATATATATACACATAGTATATGTATTATAAAGTGTATTTAAATATATAAACACAATGACATATATTTTCTATATTTGATGTTGAAGTTTTAGAGATGTATCCGTGAAGAATTACCCCTGTTGGCGGGTACAAGAGCAGGGAAACAGTAAGCAAGATGCCTTGAAAACAGTACAAAGGGTGGTTAAACAAAAAAAAAAAATATTGGTCAAAGGGCAGGCAACTTTTGTCTAAATAAGTAAAGCTATTTTTCTAATACTTAGAAGCGAATTTATTTTTAAGCATACCACACACACCACTGAAGCCTTGCTCTCACTCAAACGAAATATATATCGTACTACTGCTAAAGAGAATCGAAATCTCTCCCTCTCTCCAGATCAATCGTGCTTCTGCAAGGGATTCAATGGGCATACTTGAATGACAATGAACTTGTATTTGATATACATATGTGTTTATCGCACGGCCACCTGGGCATCCTTAGAATTTCCTATAAAAAAAAAATCTGCATTTTGTCACACTTGCACACAGCAGGGCTACTATACTGTAAATACTAGTTAACACATTCCAATTATGTTGTAAAGTACGGATCATGTTAAATATGTAATTATAATATTTTGTGTATAGTTGAATAATGAAATGAAATAAATATATTTCTGTTGCTTACTCTTGAGGAAAAATCATTAGCTACTTAATGTCTTCACTAATTTTAGAATCTTATTCATGTATCTTCTTTATTACTTTTCAAATAGGTGGCGGAAAGGAATAACTACAAATTGCGATATTTTACTACTGTATGTTGTACCATAATAAAGATTCTGTTTTAAGAAATAAAAGAATCATTGGAGCAAGGTTTATGTGGTCCTATATTGTCTAGCGATTAATTCTAAATATATAAGATAACAATAATCGCGCGCGCGCGCGCGCGCGTATCGCAGTTGTTAAATAGAGAAATATTTAGTAAATGTTAAGATAGAGCGATCGAAAGTAGAAATTTTTCACTAATAGATTATTATTAAATATTAATTATTACTATTATTATTGTTTAGCCGATAGTCAGAAATTCTTCAGTGCTGTGAAGGTTGTCTTTTCGACGCCTGTGGTATATCAAAGCCATTGGAAATTATAACATTGTGTCAGACATAAAGCTTAAATGTGACAAAAGAGACAGAAATCTCTCCTCGCACTGGTAGATTGGTAATGTTGCCCGTTGCGACTCCTCTTGTATTTATTCACGTATCAAACACACGTACCTGCTGAAAAAAATGCTATTTTACTATTTTCACTTTTTCCACCGATTTTTCGTAATATATGTAACTAGAGTTGTAAATGACTTGTTGACAAGCGCAAAACTCGACTTCGTCACATTAGATTAAGAATCGAGTGTTAAATCAAATCAAGAGAAGAG